TTTATGGAGAAAACATATTCAGGTTGGTATTAAACACCTCGAAAAACACTCAAATACGAATATTCATAGCAATAAATAAAAACTTTTTGCCTCCAATTTTTACCGATGAGCAAATTGAATTAAAATATATTTTCAAAAAAAGAATGATATTCCAATTTTTATTTGTCAATAACTCAACAAGTACACAAATAGTACTGTACTGTTTTCTTTCATAAGTTCAAAAAAAAGTGTATGTACAAATATATAAGAGGAAAAAAAATATTGAAAACTTGCAAGGTCATTAAAATTTTCCTTGAATCTTCAATAACGATCGTGGTCCAAGTTGGACCACTTTGCGACACCAGTTAGTATAAAAAGCTACAAATATAAAAATATTTGGATGTATTTGTATTATTAATTTATTATTTTTGTTATAGTTCCATTTTTTTTTCAATGAAATTCATTACCCTTGTAGAAACTTAAGGACAGAAATTAGAATTCGTCACTTCTCTATGAAATTCCCTATCTTTTGATACCTAATTTATCAAAATCCTTCGCTCGGGAGAGTCGGAATCTATATTACGGAATTAAATGTAGTGTAGGTTTATACCTCTAAAAATATTATTGTTCCTGTAATACCAATGTTTAGAAAAAATGTATACCCTCCAAAAAAAAAAAAAAAAAAAATAGTGAATCCCCTACAGATTCATTTCAATTAATTATTTTTTCCGATATCAGATAACGAAAAGCATCATTTTTCTTATTATTATTCTTTCTTTTTTTTATTGAAGAACAAGATCCCTCCCCGCTGATAGCTTGATAATAGGTATAAAAATGGATCAAGGAGGGGTTATAGGAAATTCGAACCAGGGCAGGGAGGAGATAGAAGGTATTTTGAGGGAGGGGCTGAATTATTTGCAAGGATATTGGCACTGATCTGGGGGAAATGGATCCCTCCATTTTATATAATGGCCTCTGTAATTAACATCTTTTCTCTCTTCCCTCCTCTTTTATCGCTTATTTCGGCCTCTGTTTATCTTCGGTTACTTAACAGAATGAGTTTCCCATCGGCTAGCCGTTTATCGCCACTATCAATGAACATTTAATATAACATTTTTATTCTTTCGTAATTTACTCTGGGTTAAATTTGAAATATATATATTTTTTAAGGGAACTTATTACCTTTTAAAAAAAACCCTAAGTATGGAAAAAAAATATATTAAAAAAAAGTAACGACTTTTTTTTTCATATTAACACCTATTTATTTTTAATTTTTAATAATTTATTAATATTTAAAAAAAAATATTATTCCTTGTAAAAATATCAACGAAAATTTGAAGTTAAAATTTTTTTAAAAATTAAACTTTTTTTCTTAATTAATTTTAATAATTAGTTGTTCTAATAATTAGGCTTATCCTGTGAAATTATAATTAGCACAGACAATATTTTTTATTAAATTCAATCGATTATTAAAAAAAAATCGTATGTCATAAAATATAAAGTAAGTTAATTAAAATATATTTTTATTTTTCTCAGATCAGATAAAAATTACTTAATCTGTAAGTTATTTAATCTTTAAGTTTAACGAAATAGTACAGGATTCACAGACCAAAAAAATGTGTAACTGAGTTACTCAGAAATATTAGTTTTTCAATCTCTTAATAATTTTTAATTGAAAAATTATTTAATAAATCCACGTATGATTTTTAATTTTTGCCTGTTCAAATGATTACCATGTAGATATAAAAATTATTGTTACACCTTATGGCAAAATTGTGTGAAATTTCGCTTATTTGAATTTTATTATACTATTTACTTTTTTTTGTAATTGACTAAAAATAATAAAGTTATGTAAGATTTTGGTTTTGAGTTTATGTTTTCTTAAACTGATTTCTACATTTTAATTTCGAGAACATTGTCTCTTTAGGTTTTATTCGTTTATAACCATAATAATAAATATAAATAAATGAACTATTTACTGCCTTTTATATGCATTTCTTTTTAATTTCAATTTTCGTATACTTAAATATATAAACATGTTTAAAAATATTTGAATAATTTAAATTTATTTTTATTTTAAAGTATATTTGTAATATTGTGTAATTAAACTCGGTTTATTTAATAACCTATGTTTTTTTATCTTATACTAATTCGATTTACAATTAGTTGTCCGGTCATGGTAATGAAAACTTTTCAAAGCTTTTTTTTTATTATAGGGGAAATTCTGAATTAGAAGGTAGAATAAATGAGAGAAAAAAATATCTTACAGAATTACAATTAATCCTTTTAATAAAAAACAAAAGATCTACTGTTAAGAGGACGTTGACAAGGACGTTATAAAGGCATTTCTTTCTTATTAAAATGATTTATGAATGTTTTTAATCAAGTAAATTCTTCCTGAACCTCATCAATTTTAGAAAAAAGAATTTTCATAAATCTTTAAGCGACAATTTATTCTATCAATTTTAGAGTAATATATTGATTCGGTTTTTATATAAATAAGTAGATTCTATGCACTTCGAACATTTAAAAATTAGCATTTCTTTTATAAATCCTTAATATTCAGTTCATCTCGTAAACGTAAATTAATCGTTCCAACAAGCAACTGACAGAGAACAAAATTTAGAAGGCTTATCTCAAACTGAGTAGATAATATGATAAATTTCGGATGAAATCAGTGATTCGTGAAATTTCTAAAAGGTTTCACTTTCAAGCTTAATTCGACCCTCAGCCTTTCCTCATGCCAATATATTATTTTACAATAATTTTGATCTTTTTCTCTAATCGATTAAATCTAGACAATATAATAGAACTCGCTTTTCTTAAATTTAATCGAGATTATAGGTCACGTCCAATATGTTACATATTATGAAGTTTCAATTTCTAATCTACGGGTCTTCCTTTGCTTTAATGGCTTTCACCTTTGATAAGACGTGTAGGGGAGCTGATTCAACGCGTGTTAGGTGGAAATCTGTGTATTGGGTACATTAGGTTGAGAGGAGTAAAGCAGATTTCCTGCTCCTCTGAGATGGACAGATTTGAGAGTAGAAGATTGATGAAGCCCTATTGGGTAAAAGCTGAGAGCTAGGGCTGAGCCATTCATTACCTTCTTGTTTCGTAATGAGGGGCTTCTTCGATTTTATGATTTGAAATATCCACTGAACCTAATTTATTATTAATTACAACGTTATACACGGTTGTTAATTAAAATTTTGTTTAATTTTCTATATGTTTCCTACTGTGGGTCAATCGATTTGAATTAATTTTGATGCTCTTCATTTTTGATTTTTATAATTATTTTACCATTTATTTTATACTTATTTGAGAGTTCAATATTAAAGTTTAAAAAAATTAAGGTGCATAGATTTTTTTTTCTCGGCGACCATTTTGAATTTGCTTTTCTACTGAAAACATGTTTTGGGAAAGTGTCTCAAACCTTTTTTTTAAGAGGATTAGGATAGAGAATGTTACTTGATCTGTATGTTAAGTTTGAAGTTATACACAACTGTTTTTTTTTATTGTTGCTCTTATTGTTATATCTTGAAAAACAGATGGTGTGACCATCTTCACTGACCATTTGTGCTGTGTATGCCCTAAATGAGTCTCAAAAAAAAAAAAATATATATATATATATATAATAAAATAAATAAATTAAGGAGTTTCCAATAAAAGATGATATCAAAACCCGTATAATCTTCTCAAATGGTATGTAATATTTGCCAAAATAAGATGTGGACATCTATTTTAAAGTTTAAAAAGAGAGGAAAGTACTAATACAATTGGATGAGAATGCCTTACCCAAAAATTTACTATTTATTGTTAACATAAATATAGAAATTTTTATGTTAACATTAAAAATAAACTAGTTTATAAAAAATTAAAAATAGATTGTTTTTTAGAGTCCATGTTTTTCCCGTTTCAAATAGTAATGAGTTGAATTTAAAATAAATATAGAAATATATGTTTGTGATATAAACGTGTTGCGTTGAGATACGTCATAGGGCCTAGAAATATTATAGAATATTGGTAAAATTATATAAAAGCACTACGCAAGGCATTATTCTATCAATTATAAAAATCAATCATTTAAAAAATCAAAATATCATCAATAATTAATACATACTTTGTCAAAAATACTGCAGCTTTTCGCTCATTTGAAACGTTTATTATCGTATATATTATTTCTAAAAGATGTTTTCTTTTTTTTTGCTACACCATAACTTCGTAAATTCTTCATTAAATCCAATGATTGACGACTCCTTTTGGAGATATTCTTCTCCTTCCCATGCGAAAAATAGTCCTATTCTCCCGAAATTTCTTGAAAAAAGTTATGAAGGAAAATAAACTTTATATGAGAATAACTCAAAAAATATGCATTTTACCCATGATAATTAGAAAGATTAGTAAATTACCTACAAATAAAAAATAAAATAAAAATCGGACAAGTATTAATAAAGATACAGTTCATTAGTTTTTGTATACTTAATAATGTCTTCCTGTTTAAAGATATTGCATTTAGGAGTAGAATAGTCTACTACACTTTTTCCTGGCTGATATATTAACTTTATTATTTCTTAAAGACTTTCGGTTGTTCATACATTTTTTTTTTTTTAATAATTTAGAAAATCCCATGATCGGGGCATTCTTTTGTCTTTATTACTTTTATTATCTTTCCAGTCAGCGTTTAAAAATAGGTAGTAGCAAAGAAATTTGTACAAATATTTTGTTCTATTATGTTTAATGGAATATTGTAATGGACCAAGGAAAAAATATTAAAATATCCTTCCTTACTTAATTCAGAGGAACTACTTATTTCCATATTGTTGTACTATTTCTTCACTAAAAAAAATTTCTAAAAATTATTCGCACTGGCCAGCTAAGCTATATATTAACGTTTAAACCTCATTTTTAAATAAATTATTTTATAGAATTAAGCTTTTTCTAATTGATAAACATTTTTTTGCTTGCAATTACCCTTTTTTTTTTACTGAATCACCTCAATAATAAAATACCTATTTCAGAGATCGTGGAGGGTGTGCGGAGCGGAGGGAAATGCCTTCGGCCGTCAACGACGGAGCTGTGCTGCGACGAAGAGGTGTCGGCCCTGATGAAAAGGTGCTGGGCGGAGGACCCTGCAGACAGACCTGACTTCAATTCGCTCAAGACGACCATCAGGAAGTTGAACAAGTAAGTCGTCATGATAAATAAATATAGCAGATAAATATTGTTTTTTTATTTTTCTCATTACTCTCTAATTATGGTATATTATCTTTATTATAAATCTTCTATAATGGGGGTTAATCATATCAACTTCCTCTAATGAATTAGATGAGAATTAGGTAATAAGTGTTAGTACTTGCAGGATACATATACTAAACATCCATGTTGCCGAAAGGCACGGGAGGATGAAAATAAATAAATGTGCTGTAGTTATTTAATATGAAATTATAAATAAAATGTGAAGCGAAATCTTTCTCGTTAATTTGATTTTATTTGAGCATATTTGTGGTAACAATATTGAACAAACGGCAGATAAATGAATGGATTTCACAATAAAAATATATTTGTCCATTTTACCAAATAAATGATTTCATATTCCAAATAAATAGTTATTTATTTTAGGAATATCAGTACTATCAATAGCTTTAATAAGACACTTCATCAGGACGAGAGGTTGTGTTGAACATTCTCTGTACTGAAATTTAAAAGCCATAAAGTAGGAACATAATTAACATTTAATAGAGTGTATAAAAAAAATTAAAAAAACACAGACAGTTTTTCAACTTAATATTTGTAATATTATTTCTTTAATATATAATACAATTAATATTCAAAGTATAGCCCATTGTTATCTACCGTCCTTAGCCATCTACTAGCCAATTGCTCGATCCCACCCTGAAACCATTCTTTCGGATGGCTGTCAATGAACTCGCATTGGATCGCAAATTTATCAATTTTTTCTCTTGAGGAAAATGGGTCATAGATCTAAAGAAGTAATAATCCGATGGTCGAGGTCTGGAATGATGAGGCAGGAGTTGGGTGAGGATGAGCATTATCTTGTCGGAATAAAATTCCTTTTAGGTTGATCAAAGCAGGATAACGCTCTGACAAATTCGCGTGCGATCTTTCCAGTTGTTCTCAGTAGAGTTCAGAATTTATAGAGCATCCATCAGGAACAAGTTCGTGATGAGTAACACTTTCAAAATTCTAAAAAACGCAAAGCATGAATGTTTTTTCAAATGGCCCCCATGCAGCAACCGGAAAAGCAGTTTGATATCGATCTAGCCATTGCTCACTGGTATTTGGATTTCGTCTGTAAACCCACTTTTCATCATAGGTAATCTCATATCAGAAAGGTTTTCAATAAATTTTCACAAATTTCTAACCTCTTAGCAGATTGCTAAAGAGTAAGTTTGTGAGGGATCAGTCTACTGCTCTTTTTCATCTTCTCCGTAGTGAGTAGATGACGACTAACAATATCTTTCGACACACCACACTTCCTGGCAAGTTCGCGAATATTTGTGAACGGATTTGACTCTATAGCTTCCTCCAGAACCTCATCAATATCCATTAATGATCGTCCGGAGCCCTTCTTCCTTTCTCTTTCATATCTTCGCAGCTATTTTTTGAAGCCAACACCGCGCAGTGCGTTGGCCAAGGACGCCTTCCCCTTTATATCTAATAATTCGACGAGTTGCTTCTGCGGCTGTGACATTTTTTTTTAGTAATGCCTTAAAATTACGAGAATTTCGTAGGACACTGGCTTTTTTTAAAGAATTCGAATATGATTAAAATAGCTTATACATAGCTCTAAAGGGACGTATTGATATATCTTTATTAAACACGTTATTTTATATGTTGGAACAAAAGAACAGAGTAGTAAAATTTTAAGCTTTTATTGACTTTGGAAAAAAAAGCAAAATACAGTTAATTTAAGAAACATAACTTTACAATACTTTAAAATTGTCCTTATAACTATTTTACTCACAAAAAAAGCGTTTTTTGTTTCTTTTTTTCTTTCTCTGGTTCTCAAATATATTTAATTTTTTGTTATTATTTTGTAAGATAAGCTCAAATACATGATTAAACTAGAAAAAAAAACGCGGTTAATGTTCAATGCAAGGTTAAAATGTTAAAGTACCCTACTTTACACCGTACTACTATACCTCAAAATATAATAATCAATACAATAGCTTGTAGTGTTATTATAACTAAATTTGTTGTCAGATGATATTACCGATACTATAGAACATCTATCGATATTGAAACCAATAACTTCCAAATTTCAATTTTACTTACCTGCGAGACGCAAGATTTCAACAGGACAGTCTTGGTTTTCCTACACAACAAGGCAAGATTGGTCTAGGTCTTGCGAAAATAAAAAGTTGCAAGACCAAGACCGATTTTGGGCAACACTAATGACATTTAGACGTATGATCATCATATATCAATATATACTTGCTGGCAGGAATCTTTTTGCTAGAGAAATTTTCTATCATTGGTCAAAATGTTTTTGTTGTCTCACATTGTTGACAATTTTAATTTTGTAATTTTAAATATTCTTAAAAAAAATTAAATATATTATTAAACTATTAAAAATATTAAATATTATTAAAAAAAACAAAACATTTACAGTAGTATTGTACTGAGCATTATGACATATGGGTCAGAAACTTGAACCATAAAAAGCAACCTCAGGAAGAAACTTCTAGCCACCGAAATGGAATACTGGATAAAATCAGAATACGACCATCAGAGAAAATATGGAGGCTAAAAGAACCAACCATTCAGGAAGAGATTGAGATAAAACGCCTGAACTGGTATGGCCATTTGAAAAGAATGCTAGAAGGAAGACTACCCAAAGAAGTCAACTTATGGAAAACTAGGGAAAGAAGAAGACGATTAAGACCAAGGAAGACCTGGGTTAACGAAGTGGAGGAATCCATGATGGGTCATGGTCTAAGAGAAGAATGGACCTTAGATAGGATATTATGGACAGAAGCTATCGAAGATTTAGGTTAAGGAAACCCACTACTAGTGGAAACTCCTACTAAAAAATAAAAAAATAAGAAAACCTATAATGCAATTAGTCTGTAATGCAAGCTAACAATAATTTTGACCAACATTTACTCCATAAACCTCTTTTATTCGTTTCTATAGTGTAGATTCATTTTACTATACCATTTTTTTTACCGTTTATTAGGAGTTTCGTTTAATTTATTTCAAATAAAAAATCGCTAATTGCAATTTATATGTGTCACATTAAAAAATCGTTTTACTTGTTAAAATATTATGTTTGTTCTATTTTAGAAAAAAAAGAAACGGAGTAAGTAATCTTCAATCTCCATTTATTAGTAATACTTATAAATTATTTAATTGAGAACAAATAAAATTGCAAGAATTGAAAGCTCAAGGAAGTTGTGAAAAGACAAAGGGATGTTATATATGATTCAACGTGAGTAGCAGCCAAAGCCGAGAAAAGATATATTGTTCCCCCTGACGATGGGGACCGCAAGAAATGTTTCAAATGGCTCATGCATGAGGGCTCTTAACTCTGAATTATTCTCTTCAAAGGAAAGCAATTTCATTTATATGTAGATCTTTTTATCTTCTAACCCTAGGTTTTTTTTTTTTCTCATTTTAATTATATTTGAATTAAACGAAACATTCTTATGAAACATTACTTTTACAACAAATCGTTGTTTTTAATTAAAATGTGTTTGGAGAGTAAAAAAATATATGTTTTTTTTATAACGAAATATATTTTCAAAAATAATCAAATTTCCTGGAATTTCTTTTATCTATTTTCAGTGTGAAGTAGCCCATCTTTAGAAAGTAAGAATTCTACAAAATCATAATAATATTACATAACAATTCTTCATTTATCAGTATTAATATCAATATTTATCTCCAGTTTTCCTATATTAATAGTCAATTATTTATATATGCATGTGACAAAATTGAGAAATGTCTTATTTCCTCACCAGTTTCCCCCGACTTTCGAGGATTTCCGCATCCCTATAGCCCATTTAAGTTGAGCTACAGCGATGAAAATTGGTAAGCAAATGGTTTTGATTACAAAACTAATTTCTATACCACTAAATTATAGAAGGGCCTTTTGGCGATCTTGATCATTCCCCATCAACTACCATTTTTTTGTGCGAATTAACACGTTTTTTAAAAGGTTTTGAACACCAGTAAATTTTACCAGCACATGAAAATAAGATGATAAAAAATTGTGCTGTTTGACTTATTTAGAATTATTCTTATCGATCTCCTGAGATTAGCAATAAAGCCCTAAGATTAGCAATAAATAAACCATTTCTCATTAATTTACCAAAAAAAAATACGACTTCAGTGGAGGTATTTTTCTGGTAGGGAGTTGTCATAACAATGTTATTATCTGCTGGGTTTTAATTACAACTATAGAAAATAGAAAATACTATGTGGCTAAAAATAGTAGATGTCTGTTTCCGCTTATAGCTAATTTAGCTGTAAGAATTATCTATGGACCAACTATTTATCTTTGTCGGGAAATTATGAGTGTAAATTTTCCACTAATTATTTCTGACTGACTGAGCACCCCAACTATTCTTCTCTTCATTATCCACGACAGTCAACCAATTACCAATTATAATAATTATTTCTAATTGGCTTAGAAATCGATAAGAGAACATTTTTTGGCGGGTATAAAACAATATGTTATAATTGTTTAAAATAGTATTTTTTTTTATCTCTATAATTTACCTTCATTTTTATGTTGGTATTATCATTTTTAAATTTTATTTTATTTTTAATTTTTTTTTTATCTCACCTTTCTCGCTTTTTAGGCTACACGGGATTTATGTCATAGTTAAAATAGTTAAAAGCTCATTCGGCACCGGGACGTGAAATCGTAAATATTTTATGATATATATATATATATATATATATATATATATATATATATATATATATATATATATATATATATATATATATATATATATATATATATATATATATATATATATATCACTGGGCGATGATTTTCACACGCGATAACCCGCTCGGCCACATTTTTTAAAGGTAATGACGAAAACATCAGTGAGTGAACGATGTACAGTTTATGCTGTCGCATAATCTTTATAGTATTTAACGCTGGTAATAGCCACCCCTCTCTCCAAGTCCGAAAAAAAACTCCCTTC